GGATACAGCTGGTTTAATTTTAGCTTCCTCCATCGAGCCATTCCCTACTAAGAAAACAGGAAAGTAATGTGTTCCATTGACACTTGATGACTGGCAGATATCTGACTGCTACTCTGGAATACTTTCCTTTGTTTTCGACGTCCGTTAGTGGGTCGGGCAAAAAAATCTCATAAATGAGAGGCACGACGAAAAAAAAAAGGAAGATCACCTCACCCCCACCCCCACTATGACACATCCTTGGCAGAAATTCCCCTAAGGATACTTTCAGCTAGGTTGCACATTCTGCACTAATGGCACAATGCGTTGCAACGTACTGCCCTAGTTATTTAATGAAGATAGTGAGGTGAAGTTTGAAATGAACAAAAGCTATTAGTCCAGTGGCAGCATATTCTGTACTGTGACAGATCTATTAGTCAGCACTGATATTCATGAGCTGTTATACAAAGTTTACTGAGTACAGCAGAGTTCAATGCTATTGGCGTTTTAAAACTATTAACAACCATAGTTTTTTATTTGCATCTGATTTGAATGTCTTTCTCATAAATCTGTCTACCCTGTATGAAATTCTAATGTGGTTCCAGGTGTTTTGGCCAAATGTCAGCCTTACGTGTACTCTGGCTTAATTGTTAGATTAGTTTCTAGGAATATTTCCACTACTTTTATTATGGCATATTATTTGACAAGCGTAGTGAAACCAATTCAGAATTATCATGGAAACAGTATCAAGAAACATTGGTTGTATCCAATTAAGATTGATCAGAAAATGAAATTTGCCTTTAAGTGTATGGTGGCATTGTGGTTTTGCTATTAGATTAGTATTCCAGTTCTACAGACATCAATTTCGTTCCCATTGCTGTAAATGGGGAATTCAAATTCAATTCATAAATTAAATTTTAAAAGAAGGAATTAAAAGCTTATTAGTAATGGTGACAACCAAAGCTGCTGTTTTGTGTGAAATCCATCTGGTTCACTAATGTGCTTTAGGGAAGGACATCTTCTGTCCATATCTAGTCTATCCTATATGTGATTTCACATCCACAGATATGATTCTTAACTATCCTCTGAAATGGCCCAGCAAGAACTCATCCCTATCATAACTGCTGTGAAAAATAAGAGTGCAATTGAATGGATATACTGTATGCATCTTCAGCACAAGATTCAGATACTAGAAATGCATGCCCATCCCAGTTGCTACAAAGTCCTTCTCACAAACAGCTGGTACTTGTATTAAATTTGGGAGAATTGCCCACAAAGTAATCAAACAAGAGCCTGACAAAATCATACCTTGTGACCAATGTTCGGGCTCCTACATTATCATTCCTGTCTTCCCAGCAGGATAAACCCACAAGGGGTGTTGGCATAATGATATACAGGAGGATCCAAGTGGTCCTGAGAGTCTACATTATTGTTATCAGACCTCATGAAGTCCAAAGGCATTAATTCGAATGAATCTCTTGATTATCAACTACTTTCCTCCCTTAATTGATGAACCAGTACTCCCCCATTTAAACACCTGTTCCTAAAGCGACAAGGGTAGCAAGGGCATGGTAAATGTTTTGGGTATGGGAATGCAGGGAAAATGGTGTGAGCCCAGGACAGAAAAATGTGTTTGACCATGTCCTTACCCATATCCCTATTACTGAGCATCTGCTCGTGAAGGTATTGGTAGAGGTGAGCTGCACAGTCCTGTGAACACAAAGTTATGCAGGCCTGCTAAGTACAGTCATTGATGGTGGTGGGCAATTAAACAGCTAATGAGAAAGGGTCTATCAGTATCACCATCCTGAATTATAGTGGAGCCCATCACGTCAGTGCAGATTTGAACATGAACTGTTCTTCAGCCAGAAATGTAATATGAACAAGCTAGTTAGCTCAGTTTCTTCATCTGGTCCCCACTATCACAGGTGCGACTGTTCAGATGATTCACATGATATCAAAAAACTCCACATGATAGTAGATATAGCTGAACCCAATGGACACTGCAAAGGCAATGGATCCTGGTAGGCAACAATTAAAAATGCCTACCGCTTTATTCCCTGTCCATATTTTGGAAAATCAAATCACAATACTGTATTCCTTCTCCTGGCTTACTAGCAAAAATTAAAGCGTGAGGACCCAGTACAGAAAGTTGTGCAGTGTTGGTTCGAAGCAACAGAAGAGTTTCTACCGGACTGCTCAGAGTTGGTTGACTGGTCCGTATTGAAAAACTCAGCAGCCAACCTGAACGAGTACACCACTACCGTTACAGACTTCATTAGTAAGTGTGTAGAAGACTGCGTCCTGAGGAAGTTAATCCAAATGTTCCCCAACCAGAAACCGTGGATGAATCGGGAGATCCACTCCTTATTGAAGACCAGGTTTGAAGCGTACAAGTTGGGCAACCCTGACCTACATGGGAAATCCAGGTATGGCCTTCATAAGGCCATCAGGGATGCCAAGGGGCAATAACAAACTAAGCTTGAGACCCAGACCAATCTCACAGACACATGTCGCTTGTAGCAAGGCTTATACGACATAACAGGCTATAAAGCGAAGTTGAACAGAATCGTGGGCAACAGTATATCCCTACTCAGAACTCAATGCATTCGGTTATGTTCGGCTACATTCAGCTACATGCTATGTTCACTTTGAACAGGAGGTCAGTGAAACAATGTCACCTATCCTAACAGCCTGGAGTGCACCTGTACCCACTGTCACTGCTACAGATGTTAAGAGTGAACCCACACAAATTGACTGGCCAGGATGGAGTCCCAGCTGTGCAGTCACATCCTGTGCAGACCAGCTGGTGAGAGTAATTGCAGACATCATTATCGTCTCCTTACTATGATCTGAAGTCCCCACCTGCTTCAAGAAGTTGGGGGCTATCATCCCAGTGCCAAAGAAACTTCATGCAGTGTGCCTCAATGACTGCCACCCAGTGCCTCTGACCTCAAATTATGAAGTGCTTCAAGAGGTTAGTCATGGCTGACATCAACTGCAGCCTACCAAATTGCATTGATCCTTTGCAATTTGCCTACTGGCGCAACAATTCCAAAGCAGACACCACCTTCCTGGCCCTACACTCATCCTGAGAACATCTGGATAACAAGGTTACCTACTTAAGGCTCCCACTTATTGACTACAGTTCCACCTTCAATACCAAATTCCAACAAACTCAAACAGCTCAAACTGGATCCTCAACTTCCTGACCCATAGACTGCAATTTGGCATGGTGTAAAGACAACAATCTCTCCATCAACTACAGCAAAATGAAGGAGCTGGTCATTGACTTCAGAAAGCAGAGTGCATGGTACGTTTCTGTCTGCATCAATGGTGCTGAGGTGGAGATGGTCGAGAGCGTCAAGTTCCTGGGAGTGATGATCACTCTGTTCTGATCCACCTATATCAATGCGACAGTCAAGAAAGCACAGTATTGTCCCTACTTCCTCAGGAGACTAAGAAAATTCGGCATTTCCACAGGACTCTTACTATTTTTATAGATGCATCACAGAAAGCATCCTATCCGAATGCATCACAGCTTGATGTGGCAACTGCTGTTCCAAAGACTGCAAGAAACTACAGAGTTTTGAATACAGCCTGGTCCATCACACAAACCAGGTTTCCATCCGTTGCTTCAGGAAAGCAACGAACATAATCAAATACCCCCTCCCAACTTGGTTATACTCTTTTCTACCCTCTTCTGTCAGGCAGAAGATAGTAAAAGTTTGAGTACATGCAGGAATAGATTTAAGAGCAGCTTCTTCCCTGCTGTTATCAGACTTTTAAACAGACCTCTCAAATGTTAATTCTGATCTCCTTCTTTGCACCTTCTCTGTGGCTGTAACACTATTCTGCGCTCTGTTCTGCTACCCTGATGCATTTTGTATGGTGCAATCTGCTTGTGTAGCACGCACAACAATACTTTTCACAGTATCTTGGTATATGTGACAACAATCAATCAATCAATCATCTGCCAGCAGTACTGAAGACTTGTATTCTAAACCCAGCTGTGCCCCTAACCAGGCTGTTCCTGCTTATGTGGAAAATTACATGGGTATGCCTTGCCAGAAAGAACTACAGAAAAATTAACCTGTCTAATGACTGTCCCATCAGTTCACAATCATCAGCTGGAACATGCCATTGGCAGCGTACTCACCAAGAATTTGTCTCCTGATGCTTCATTTGTTTTGTACCAAGACAACTTGGCTCCTAACCTCGTAACAGGTCAGGTCCAAATGTAATAAAAAAATCTGAATTCCAGAGGAAATATTAAATTGACTGCCCTTGACAAAAAAAAGGCGGCACTTGACTAAGAATAACATTCAGAAGGCTTTGTAAAATTGAAGTCAGCAAGAATTTTGGAAAACTCTCAAACTGTCTTTTCGTTCAAGCCATACCCAGCATAAACAAAGATAGTTATGTTCATCAAAGGCTAATTATCTCAGTCCCAGGACATCACTGCAGGATTTGGGCTTGGCCGAACAATCTTTCAGTCCATCATAAGGCCAAAAGTGGGAATGATCAGAAAATGTGTCATACAATTTGTAATGCTTAAGGTGCTGGAAAAGTTGATGCCAACATGCCATAAGACCTGGATGTCATTCTTGCATAGGCTGATAAGTGTTAAGCACTGCCTGGGATTGAGAGGTACATCAAGGCCCAATAACTGAGGCTCTGGGGGCCCACTGCTCCTGGCAGTGCCATGACCTGAGCATAGTACCAAGGCCTGTGATTTCTGTCCCTGCCCCTAGTGGCAAGTAAACTTCTTTACAAGCACCAGGCAATGACAGTCTCCAGAAAAGAAAGTCTGACAACCTCCCCTTGATATTCAGTGGCATTATTATGTTTAATTCCCCATCATCAACATACTTAGTGACACAATTGCACAGAACTGATCGTGATAAGCCACGTAAACAACTCTGATTCTGTGTTGGTTAGAGGGTGGAAATTCTGCACCGAGTGACCACAAAGCCTTTGGTTCCCCCAAAGTCTGTACACCCTCCATTAGACAATAATTAGGTGTGTGGTGGAATGATTTCTACTTGCCTAGATGATTGCAGCTCCAACAGCATTCAAGAAGCTCACCACTATTGAGGGGGGAAAAAAGCCTGCCTGATTGTTGCTACTGGCACCTTGGTGGCTGTGTGAACCATCTACAAGATTGACTGCAGCAATTCATCAAGGCTCTTTCGATTAGTGTCTTTTAAAACTACAATCTGTACCACCTAGTAGGGCAAGAATAACAGATGCATAGGACCACCCCCACCTGTAAGCTGTCTGAAGTCATTCACCATTCTGACTTGGAATTATATTTCCATTGCTATGCATGTGCTGGTTCAAAATGCTAGAACTCCCTCCTTAACAGCATTGTGTGTGCATCTACCACACATGCACTGCTAAGGCTTAAGAAAGCAGTTCACCATCATCGTTGGAGGACTTTTTGGAACGGGCAGTATGAGTTGGACTTGACAGTGATGCAGACAATTCCTGAGTAAATTTTTAAAAAATGCAGATTCCACTCCACATACTGATCACAGAATGGGGCAGTTTTGGCACTTTAACAGTAAATCTCTGAAGCTGTATACTGGATGCCCGGATGTTGAGTGGAGTAGCTCTTACTGTGATTTAAATGATATCCCATTATGATTGAACATGATTAATTTTAAACGTATATCTTGGGATTTGATTTGAATCTCCAAAGAAAATTAACTTGAGTTTATGTTTTTGGAAATGAAAGTTCAGAGTTCACTTCCTATCAAGTAGTTATTCAATTAAATATCTAGCATAGTGCTTAATCTTTTCGAGAAGGAATCAATGAGCTGAATTGCTTGCTTTTATTCTATAAAACTTTGTATACTCTGATACAATGTTAATAGATGTACAAGATAATCGAATGAGCAAGGTTCACAATTTCTATATAAATGCTGACGAAAGGAGTCCAATAATCTATTGATTATATATTGTAGTTGTTCTGGAAATAGCAAAGTGGAGAGGCAAGCTATTTGATTTTACTTAGGAGTCTACTTATGAAATATTGAATGGGATGAAGAAAATAAGGACTTTTGAGAACAGATAGACATTGGGTCAGCCAGCTCATTTCAGCCAGACTGAACAAAAGGAAACCTGCTCCTCTCAAATATGGAATTGCAAATGACCAGAATGCTGACCAGAGAAAGATTAAGCAAATCTGCTTTGTGATTTGTTATTAATTGAAACAAGCTGAGAATTAATCATGCACGTTATTCTGTGCATTCATTTACTTTCTACAATAAAACTAGTATTGTTTCCCATTTCACCTTTAGAATGGCCATATTGGGGAAATGGGTTCTGATGCATGAGGAAAAGTTGGACATGCTGGGCCTGAATGGCAGGTCATGTGATTGAAATGTATAAAATCGTGAAGGGACTTGACAGAGTGGCGTCTGAATGGATGTTTCCTCTTGTGGGAGAGACTGGATCTTGGGGTCACAGTTTGATAGTGAGTCTCCCATTTGGTATGTAGATGAAGAGGATTTTTTTTTTCTCAAGATATTGTAGATCTTTGGAAGTTTCTGTTCTAGGGAACATGGAAGATGGAGTCATTGAATGCTTTTGAGCAGAGTTACAGAAATTCTTGATTAACAAGTGAGACAACGATCAGATTAGCCATAATCTTATTAAATGGCAGAGCAGGCTGCAGAGGCTGAATGACCATCTCTTGCTCCTAATTCGTACGTAATTCTTCTGCGTTCATTCTGGATGTCTGCACTCACAGCAGAATATCTTTTCCCTGCCAGATTCCATCTTTTCCTGACCCTACCATTTTCAGCCTCACTGCCTCTGCACTAAGTTATTTGCAGAAGTCTAGCTCACTTTGATTCTAGCTTTTTCACCCAGAAGATTAAACACTTTCAAATCAGTGTACGTAAGATATGTGTACATTTCTGAAACAAGCTAATAAATTGTTAATTATTTACAAATTACAAGAAAACAAATAAAAGGTAGCATCTTAACTACCTCCCATTTCGGAAACTCATTTTTTATTTTCACAAAAAGCTACTAAGATTATACAATGCAGTATTAGAATGACCTTTTCTCAACTAATCTTTGGATAAAAGTAGTGAAATGCTGTGATAAAGTTTGAAGATTCAAGATCTGCTACTGCATTTGATGACAGGAAGACGATGACTGAAGAATTTTAAACAAAATGCATATTAACACAATGTACTGTTTCTCCTGTGATATATTTTTTCCAATGGCATTCAGTGACACCAGGAGGTGTAATAGTTAGTTGTAATAATTCTACTGACCTATTATGGTTAGTCTTTCCATGATTTTCAATAACATCATTGGCAGTACTGTCTTATTTCCAGTCATCCAAAATAATACAACATTTATAGAGTGAAACATTATCCACCAACTTAGAAAAAACATAGAAAGTAGGAGC